ATCTGAGGCAGCTCATTCTAAAAACCCACAGGGTGCTTACACCACTTGGGTTTCTTGTCTTGTTTTATCTTTTAAGAAAAGCCAATTCCTAATCCCTGTGCCATTCCAAATCTGAGTAAGCAGACAAAGTATTGTTCTAGATGAAGCCAACAACACTAAACAGAACATGATTCACTAACCATCACCTAGGCAATGGCAGGGCAAAATTCCACACCAACCCAAGTACAGTCACAATGGAGAGGGACGTGCAGGATAACCCCCTGGGAAACAGGACTCAAGAGTGGCTGTTTTGATGGAAGGTTAATCGGGCCCATGCTTTATGTAAATAATGACCTTCCATGGGGGGACTTGTGGGGCCTCTGGAGATGAAGACAATGTTTAAATTCAAGTTCAGGACCAGAAGTTGTCCTTGCTAGTCACCAAGCACAGCCACCAGACTGACGGAGAACATGTGGTGATGGCAGGCGGAAGCCAGGAGAGTTCCTGAGGCTGAGTTCCAACCCTGTCTGTCATTTGATGAGTAGATAGCCTTGGTCTAGCCAAGACAGTGGTGGCCATTGATTCTGGGGTTTTAGGCAGGACTGCAATTTTATAAGATCCTTTGCTTTCAATTTCTATGAATCTACTAAATAACTGTGCCTCGGTTGGTGTGGAAATTTGCCCTGCACTGACTAGATGACTGTTCACTTAGCAGAACTATGTTCACTTCAATGCACTTTGAATGCAAGTCAAAATTGGCACTAAAGATAGTTTTGTTGAGTATTCCTTGTGGCTTAGTGGTTAGAAGTGCTTGCTATACAGTATGAACATCAGAGTTTGGACTCCAGCACCCTGCCGCACACAGACATGCACACCCAGCTGAGCAGACACATATGCACATACGAACACACACACACACACACACACACACACACACACACACATTTTTTAAAAAGTATTTGTTTCCAGTTTTCTTAACCCTGGATGAAGTATGAAAATGTCATGAGCACAGTATTAAGAGGGCAGCTCTCTAAAATGTATACAGAGACACTGCCAAGCCGGTCTTAGAAGACAGGGGGGAGATATGTGGGTACCTAGAGATAGAATAGGTATGTGAAAAGGGAGAGGCGTGTGGGGCCTCTGGCTGTGTGTACACTTGGGAACTTGAAATTAGCATTCTAATGTCAGCTTTTCTACCTATCCACTTGGGACCATGAGATTGGCTGCCTCATTTTAATCATTTGGTGCCTCAGTTTCCATATCTACCATTTAGCTTGACAGTCCCTGGCTAAATTCCCAGGACTGTGGGAACATACTGCTCAGAGCAATATAAATATCATCCGTTCACACAACTCAAAATATCCCTGTTACCAGATGTCCTAACTTAAAGTGGTAATGTTAACAAGAGCCATTCCTTCAACAACCGCAGTGTGAGTGTCTCTGGTGCCAGTCCACCCGGGAAAAATTAAGCCCCAAGACTAGTGTAAGAGTTTGGATTCCCACAGTGCTGAAGCAAAAGGAGTGTAGACTCGAAATGTGACACATTCCGGCTTTGCTCTTCAGCATCTGGGTGACCTGGGACAGTGCAATAGCTTCCCTCAATATCCTCATCTGTGAAAAGGAATAGGAATGGGCATCTCGGAGGTTTGTGAGGAAGGTGATCACAAGCACAAGTTAGTCCTTTTGAGCTAGGCGTAGGCGGTGAAGCCACATCTTTTATGGGCTGTGTCGGTCACGCCTGCCTATCTTTTTATTAAAAACCCTCGTCAGCAGATTGAGGAGTCTGTCGATTCTCTTGCTTAGAGCACCTGCCACATTTCAGGGCTTGCAACTCACAGTGAGTACTCTTCGAAGCAGCTGGATACCGGGACAGAAAACGGAGGTAGAAAGGAGGAAGCTCCTCTCTGGCCTTAGAGCTTCATCAGCCCGCCTTGCTTCTGCCCCCAGCCACACCTAATGTGGCTATACTACTTTATTCGTTTAAGCCACTGTACTTTCCTAAGACTAAATTAGCAACATAACTGGATTGTTGTGATTTTTCATCATTTTGTTCCAGAAAACCTGCACAAAGTTCTCTGGGGTATTTGGATATTGTACTCACTTCCTGACAGTGTCCCAAAAGTACCTAAAAGGAGTAAAAGGAACTTCTAATATGCTTGCTGAAAGGGTATTTAGATGTGGGGTTAAGGGAATTGCTCTCAGGAAAGTTTACATCCAAATATTTGCTCCTAAATCTCTTCCCTAAACAAATATTTGTTAATATGGGCCAATTACATACATTCGTGTATATGTATACACACACACATGCTGTACCACTGCCCCTGAGGTCATGCTAGGGGAAGGGTAAGTGTGGCAAGCTTCTACTGCTATTCACATGGCTTTTCATTATTGTGAAATAGCCTGCAATTTTTTTTTAAATGGCTCAATATTTAAGAAAGTGTCAACTTCTTTTAGATTAGATTTGAGCCTCAGCCCAACCTCTTACTCACCTGGACAATTCATTTTCATTCCTGGAGTAATAGCTAATACATGTTCCCTTTGCTAAAAGCAATGGGCCTTTACCCTGTGTGCACTCAAACAGGTATGCACTCCCAGGATATTTGCAAACCGCCATTACTTAGCCTTTGATCCCAGATTTAAACATTCCTGAAAATTTTGCAATCTTGACATTTTTAGTTGTTCTTTTTAATAACAGCATCTTTTAAAAGTAAAGAAAAAGGAATATATTTTAGTTGAGGAAAGGAACATCATCAGTTCTCTTTTTCATTGCTTTGGAAGAATTTATTAACATAACCTTGAAAATAGACAATTATAAATAAGTATAATATGTTATAATTATAAATATATATGTAACATATTCAAATATTGATCTGATTTGCCTTATATTTCCCGTGTGTGGTATGTATGTGTATACATTCATCTGTGTGTGTGTGTGTGTGTGTGATAAAGGACATATCAGGTGTTTTTCCAACACCATCCATCTTTCTTTATTAAGAACAAGGTCTACAAGGTCTCTCACTGGTTGACAACTTCACAATTAGACTAGGCTGGCTGGCCTGTTGAGTCTATGTCTTTTTTTAAGTGGACTTTGGGACCAAACTCATGTGTTTGTGCTTGTACCAAAGCCATATTTCTGGCTTCTTACAAGCTGTGAAAAAACACAAGTGAATGCTTACCTCTGAGTCTAGTTCTAAATGTGCTGAGGAAAAGCACAATAACTATTTACAAAATTATAGCTGAACTATTTTTGCATATTATACTATTAGGACATTGGGCAATAGAACAAGAAACAGAATGTTCTGAAAAATAAACTTTAAAGCTGGTAAGCATCATGTACTTTTTCCAAAAGACATATTTCGTGTGTTAAATCAAAGGTGACTCTTTGGCACTATGCAGCAGTCAGAAGTAACCCAAGTTCTAGCTAGCCTTGACTCTGAGCTCTGGTGGCTGCAGAAATAGCCAACAGTTCCTGTGGATTTCAAACCATGCCTGAGCACTTCACAAACTATCCAGCCTTCCCTATGATACTTTGTTTTTAATCTTGTTCTTCATTTAGTTTATATAAAGTCTAAAGATTATCTATGTGGGTGAACAGGTACCTAGAGGTGAATGCTACTGGGAAAGGCTGAGATTGCACTAGCATCCTCCTACAGCTGTATGTCTGTCTTTAGAAAGTCACCATGTGTCTCCTCTTTTGTAAAGTGACAGGAACTTACTGTTTCAGGTAGCTTTGAAATCCCAGTTCACCAATGCATAGAAGCGTTTGGTGACTGAAATGCTTTGTGAATGTGAACTAGGTTGATTGCTTCTCAAGAGCAATTTCTGAAGTATTCATAGTTCCAGGGCCATGCGTATTTATCTTGATTATTACCTAAAACTATGTTCTCAACTTGTCCCATTCTACACTGAGGTTCTCTCCTGCTAATCGGAAGTGTTTTTCTTTCTAATTTCCTTCTTGCTCTGATGCCACCTGTATTCTCCCCAACAGTCAGATCAGGAGTTCAAAGGTCATTTGTTTCTCTCTTTGAGGTAACCAGAACTTCCCATGATGTACAGAAGTTATTTACTTTTTTCTCCTTTTTCCTTCCACAATTTCCTCCTCCTCCTCTCTCCCTACTTCCTTTTTTCTTTCATTTTCATTTTTATGACCAATTTCTCATTTTGACTATGCCATCTTTATTTGGGCTGTGACACAGTGTCCCTGCTGGTCTTCTTTTCCCTTTGTCCAGTATGTGTACATGTACACATACTCATATGTATGCACACATACTCACATGTATGCACACATACTCACATGTACATGCACACACACACACACACACACACACTATCAAATTCATCTCAAGAAATGCTATGTGGTTGTGACTGCACAATTTCCCTGATCTAACATCTTTACAAGCCTTCACTTCATGGAAAACATTTTTTGGCATCAACCTCTTTCTGATGTGGTCACTCCAGTCGACTCTGTTTATGACACCCTTGTCTTCATTCTCGCTTGCTCCTGAGTCTTGCCTCACATCTCAATGCCACAGCTCACCCGTGAACGAATTTCCCGACATGATTCTGCTAATCCTGTTTGGAAAGTCATTACTGGACTCTAAGTTAGCTAATCCTCAGTACTGTGTGTATGTTTGTCCTTGAGTACAGAAAAATTATGTCACATTCTTTATATTGTAATGATTTGTATGTCCTTAGACATATTTCTGAGTTTTACTTTAAAGCAAAAGGTTTAAATGTAGTCATTTGTTCCAAAAGCAGTAGTTTAGTTGTCAACCATTGACACGGTAAAGAAACACCTGGGGAATATGCTAAAAAAATTTTTGAGCTCCACCCTAATCAGATCTGAACGGAATGCACATATTCATGTTCCCAATGAGTTTCAAGGAGGCAGATGCTATTAGTGACTGAGCTTGTCTATCACAGGGCTGACAAACAAATCTTAGACATTTGCATAAATCTCTAGTAGTGTCTCCCAATGTTTCTTCTGTTCACACTCACATTCTGCAACTTCTTTCTTTCAGATCGACTTTGAAGATGTGATTGCAGAGCCAGAAGGGACACACAGTTTTGATGGCATCTGGAAGGCCAGCTTTACCACCTTCACTGTGACAAAATATTGGTTTTACCGCTTGTTGTCTACCATCTTCGGCATCCCTATGGCACTCATCTGGGGCATTTACTTTGCCATTCTCTCTTTCCTGCACATCTGGGCAGTTGTACCGTGCATCAAGAGCTTCCTGATTGAGATCCAGTGCATCAGCCGTGTGTATTCCATCTATGTCCACACCTTCTGTGACCCACTCTTTGAAGCTATTGGCAAGATATTCAGCAATATCCGTATCAACATGCAGAAAGAAATATGAGTGACATTTCAAGGATGGAAGTATTCCCAATCTTTTTTTTTTTCCTTATTATTTCCTTGGTGCCAATTTCAAGTTTCAAGTTGCCATCACCATCACGGCAGCGACTTATGAATGGTTTGTCTTGCTCCAGAACAAAGAAGTTGTCTCTTTTAAGCTCTTGCATCTATTTTTCACAGTCTGAAATCTGTAAACCCATTGCTACCCTCTCCTTTGTATGTGGATCATTTTTTATTGGCTAAAATACAAAAACATCATTGAAAAAATAGGAAGAACTGGGGGGGGGGGTGGGGATGGAAGATGAGGACCAACATCTGCCTATTCTAAAATGATGATGTCACAGGAAGGGAAGAATTCCAGGCTAAGGCCTCATGTTTAGGGACACGTGGGCAGGTTTTAAACAGATACTTCCACAACCATCTGAAGTGTTAGTTGTTGGCATCATTGTTGACACTGTTAATCTAGTGGGAGCTAGTGAACACTATTAAGTTGGAGACCATAATCTTCATGCTCATTGTTATCAGTAATGTCCTTATTCATCTTGGCATTTTAACCTGTTATTTTGTGTGCCTGAATATTTGTTATATCTATACAAAGACCTGGGTGCCTTCTAATTTTTCATGTTTTCTTTTCCAATAGGGTCTAACTCATCAACTCTCATTATGCCCACAGCTTTCCAAAAAGAAAAAGAAAAAGTCATAGAAAACCTATTGCTAGTTCTTTATACTGGTTTCTAACTCTGAGATACAGAACTTGTTGAAATTGATCTGAGTGCTTGGTCCTGTAGCATCTTTCTCTGTGGCAAGCCTGGTTAATATTAACCCAATGAAATGATTTAAAGCAGACATATGGGGCTGAGCTCTCTCTAGGGCTGGCAGGAGCAGAGGCCAGCTTTCCCTGCCTCTCAGCTACCGAATGTCTTTTCAGCTTCTCTCCTTTTCAAGCGCAATCACACTTATCTGAATCTAAGTGAACCCATCACTGGGGCGGTTTAGTGGCTCAGGGCTGTGCCCCATTCTCAGCTGATCAGGAAGTGGGCCTCCAGGGAGAGTTGTCTTGGAAAGAGGGCCACCAAAATGAGACTGCCAAAGCTGTTGCAAGCATGACCCCTTCTGTGCATAGCACTTGTAATAGTCTGTGATGCTGTGACACTTGACCCCTCCCCCTGATGGGAGCCTTTGGACTAGCCCAAGCATCACTTTGTTCAGAGGCAAGGTGGGGGAGGGGACAGTAACAAAAGCTTGAGGTAATGTTCTTGCTGGAATAAATTCTAGTTCTTCTGAACCCAAACTGAGGAATTTCATCTGTATATCTGAGTCCTCCAGAAAACGGCCTACCTGAGACACCCAAAAGCTTTCTATTTCCCTCACTCATATTACAGCTCTGCCCTTGGGGCATAAATATATTGTTTAATTCTGGGTAGGCTTTTATTTTCATTCTCATCCATTTATTGGGATTTTGCTTGACTTTTGTTTCCTCTCTCAGTTTTGCTGACCACTTTAACTACGAACCTGCTACCTACTTTGATTGTTTGCATTTTAAACAGACACTGGCATGGACACAGTTTGACTGTTAAGCTGTGTGCATAACTGAAAATATAGTATACTTTATAATCATTTAAATGTAAAGATATTCCTTATCTTTATAGAAAGAGGCTCACTTGGGAAATAGTTCTGCGATTCAGTCTGTAAACTGTGTGTCCCAAGACGTGTCTGTTCTTCCTAGATGCTCAGTCTTGTGTAAGTCAGTTGCTGCTTCAAAAGGTTACTGAAATTTTATATGCTTACTGATATATTTTACACTTTTTTATGCTGCATGTCCTATAAAGAGTTCAAATCTGCACAATAAAAATGTTTAACAGTTAAACAGGTATGTGTATGTGTGGTTGTGTTTGTATGTAATAAGCATGTGTATGAGGTATATTTACATGTTTGTATTGTGTTTGGGGGTGGCAAACTTTTCAAATATTGAAAATCATTTAAGTGAAATATTTCTACTAAAAGTCAATGCTATTCATAGATTACTTAAAATAATTTGGTTTTAATTCATAGTGAAAAACAAAGTTATTTTTAAACGATTTGCACAATAATTTATTACCTATTAACCTGAGTCCCAATAATCTTATATGATGGATATTAATATTATCATCAAATACCACCTACATTTATATTTGGACTTTTGTATTAAAGTTTTCCAGAGAAACAAATCCACAGCATAGAGACATGATAAAGATGGAGACTGAAATAGAAACCACAAAAGAATAGAAAATAAAAGGTTATCAGAAGGACTTGGCCCCATGAGTTTGGATACTGGCTAGTTCTAGGTGAACCATGATACTGGGGATCACTATCCCACTTTTCCAGTAATAACAATGGGTGGAACTAATGTACCAGTTGGAAGGATCCAAGCAAAAGGACCTCTCTCTGTCTTGACGGAAGATCAGCCTCTTACTGTACTTAGACCTTCAAATGACTGAATGAGGTCTACCCACGTGAATGAAGGCAACTTGCTTTGTTCATCCTAGAAAGTGAAACATAACTCCATTTATACTACTCACGAAGGAACCACGGCATAATGTTTGACCAGATTTCTCAACAGCCTAAAGTTCAGTCAATTTGACAACTGAAATTAACCAGCAAAGCTTCCAAATTTAATTTAATTTTAAAGAAATCTCTAAATTCCTTTGGCTGAGAAAATATTGTGAGCATGACAGTGTTCTTCTCTTTGCTGAGAAAGTATGGGAAGTGCTTAGCTGGCAATGCTGCCTGGAATAGGAATTCACCCATCATTTTGTTTCCACTACACACACACTGACTATCACCACATGATCCAGGCAGAAGTGGAACTTCCACTTAAAGGATGTTGAGTGAGGTGAGACAGGAATAAATTATCCTTCTGTTTTGTGACGTGAATGTCTGGTTGTCTACATAGGATCAAAATCACACTGTAGCTTGGTTCATCCACACACATGAAACAGGTCCATCACTGGGTACAAACAAACACATGGTTTTGGAAGACTTATTACATAGCTTTATATTTGAAATATAAACTTAATATACTTCCTAAATTAAGATAATGATGCAATAATAAAAAAGCATAAATAATTTACACACATGGTAATAAAATAAAAACATTTACTAGGCAAGTTAAATTACTTGTGTGGTTTGCTGCTAATTTTGTTTGAAAAAGGGATGTTTTATTAAAATGTATCATTATTTCTGATTCCTATCAGATACTTAATCATTGTATGTATAAAATATTTAAAACTAGATGAGCTGATAAAACTGTCCCCATTTCACAATAAGGTTTACAGAGTGTACTGAATTTCTAGTCCCCATAACTAAAGTACTGTAATATTGCTCCATCCCTGTGTGTCACCTAGCAAAACTCTGCTGCCTTCACTCCTCACTCCTGGTGTGTGTGGTTTCAGAGCTCTAAGGCTTCTAGATTCTATGAGCTTGCAGAATCTTCGCATCTACTTTGAAGACAGCAATAAACCGTTCATAGGTGATCAGAGTTCGAGTAAATTGGTAAGTCACAGTAGTTAAAACTGCAATAATCTCTATGTGACAAGTCTATGCACCTCAACTGAATTCATGTGCACACTTCTAACAGCCTTCTACAGTGTGTTCCAATTATAGAGATTAGGGCACTGCTGTCTCTAAAGAGTCAAACAAGTCACCCAAATTCAACAGCTTGTAATTTATAAAGTCCAAATTATTAACACATGGAGTCTGGGTCCTAGATCTACCTTCTGAACAACAACATAAACCTATACAGTTAGCAACTGATAATAATGAAAATTAGAAAGCAAGGTGGGTCTATGTTAAGAACAAGTGGAAGTCAACATTACGGACTGCAATTAAATGCAAATTAAAATACTTTGTGTTTAAATATGACAGTGAAACCCTCCTCATAAATTTATCAAGATCATTTCCAACCTTAAAAATAAGTTTTTACCAGTTACCTTGGGTTTTTTGTTTCTTTGGTTTCTTTGGGGTTTTGTTTGTTTGTTTGTTTGCTGTAGCTGAGGACTGAACCCAGGACCTTGCACATGCTTAGTAAACACTCTACCACTGAGCTAAATAACACCTTTATCCCACAGGTGGGCATTGGGAAGTAATGCAGGCAGATCTCTGAGTTTGAGAGCAGCCTGGATAGCCAGGGCTACACAGAGAAACCCTGTCTTAGAAAAAAAGAAACAATAACAAAACAAAACAAAAGAACAAGCAAACAAAAAGGTTTTACAACATACAATAGTACACAACACTATCTACTTTGCCATACAGCTTAGTGATTCTTAGGGTCTTTGTTCCTTAACTGTCTCCTTTAATTCCACTATATTCTTTCTAGACTGTTCTCATTATATATTCTCCTCACTTTCAAACCTCCCTTGAACTCAGAACTTTCTTTAACCTAGTTGTGGTGATATCTTGCTTGTACAAATAAAGCCTGTCTGAGGTCAGAGAACGGAGCTTGTCATGAGCTAACCATAGAGGTCTGGAGGTCTGTACAGACAGATAGGAAGTGAGGTAGCTGGGCAGAAACAGGATATAAGCAGGGAGAAACAGGAACTTGCTCTCTGGTTTACTGAGACTCTAAGGAGGTAAGATGTGGCAGTGTTTACTCCTTCTCTCTGATCTCTCAGCATTTTTCTCTATATCTGACTCTGAGTTTTAGTAGACCAATCAAGAACTCTATATACACCTAGTGGTTCTCAACCTGTGGGTTGGAGCCTCTTTGGCAAACCACTGTCTCCAAAATATTTATATTACGATTCATAACAGTAGCAAAGTTACAGTTATGAAGTAACAACGAAAATAATTTTATGGTTGGGGGTCACCACAACATGAGGAACTGTGTTAAAGGGTCACAGCATTAGGATGGTTGAGAACCACTGCACCCATTAACTATCTCACCTACCTTTTTGCAGCCAAATTTCTCAAAGAAATGTCTTTGGGCATTATCTAAAGGCCATTGAATTGGTCCCGGTGACACTATGTTTAAGCTGGAAAGGCTTTAAAGTTCTTTTTGACTTCAGGTGCCATCTTCGTCAATTTATAGGATTTTCTTTCACTTGATGTTTCTTATTTTGTTGCTTAGTTTTTACTAAAACCTAAGATATCATCACCAAACCAAAAACTAGAATGGTGACTATATTATATATGCATTTCATGTCGACTATCAAATATTGAAGAACATACTTATTTAGAAATATGGTATTTGTCCTGCATGGTAGTCACAAGCTCTAGCACTCAGGAGGCTAAGACAGGAATATCTG